GTATGACACACTACAGTTCAAAATACAAAAGCTTAAAAACTTTTAAAAATTAAACGTTTGCTCCTTTGAACAAAACAGATTCTCAAATTGAAGCAAAACATCAGAATGGATTAAAAAATGTTTCCTGTTTCCCCACCCCTACCCCCACCCCCCAAAAAACAGGAGCTTCTACTTGCTTTTCTAGACCACTTTTACTAGAGAATTTGCTGGAGTAAATGAACAACAAGCAAAACCAGATGCTTGCTACCATTATCTTCAAGCCACCTCAGAAAAAGACACAGTATATGGGCATAATCCTAAAGCTTTTACTCTGATTTTCTAGCTATGTGATTGTTCTATACATTCAGAAAAGAATGGCCATTCTAGAAAATATCCTAGAAAGTAAGGAATAACCACCCAAATGTTCCTCAGGAAGAACACTGTTTTAGTTCCAGTCTCTTCCTGATTAAATTTCAGTCTTATCTGAGATATTTTAAATGCATACACAACTGCCCCCCCAACACACACACCTACATCTACAATGCAATATTTATTAAACAGTGAAAACACTATTTCAGAAGCTCATTTCTGCCATGCACTTACCTGCAACATACAGCTTAGGCCGTACACAAGAGGACGGTGCTGTGGGCAGGCAAGAAAATCTGAACAGGCAAGCTGTGCAGGATTGACTATAGTACCAGTCGTGGAAGAGCTGGGAGCTGCCAGAGGAGGATTATTTGGTCCAATAATAATATGAGGCGAGTGGGCAGCGATGAGGTTAGTATTGTCACTAATCAATAAGGAGACACGTCTGGCACAGAAATAAGCAAGACGACGTGACAGGTAGGCTGACTGAACAAACTCTTCAGAATACTGAAAGATATTTTTTTTGAAAAAACCATCATCAGAGTGTTCATTTTAAATATGTAATTCTGATGAATACACTAAAGCTCCCCACCCAGTTGCTGCTACCTTCTTTAGCATCCACAAACATCCAAATCCAAGTCCTAAATCCTTCCAAGGATTTCTTGTTCCTCAGACTAGGAAACCCCTCCATGTATCAAGTCTGCCAGATACTTTTTTCCAATTACCACTTTTCAAACCCATCTCTCTAGATCAGAGATGGCAGCCAGCAGCCACAGGACCTCCAGCACCTTTTATGTGAGCTCCTAACACCACTCCTGTCCCAGATCATCCCCACCACGGGCAGGCTCCATGTTGTCCATTTTGTCTGGTTTGGGGAAAAAAGGTCTGGTAGGTGCTAAGGGGTGAATGGGAACCTTAAGCCTCTGGGGAAAAAGCAAGATACTGCCAAAATCAGTAGCGTGGTAAATAAACAAAAATTATAGTGTGAGCTCTAAAATAGTCCTAAAATGTTAAGTAATATAGAATCAGGATTAGAATCTTTTCTGTCACTCCGTGATTTTCTGCACAAGAAGACAGAAGTATTTTTTTTAATGACCCTAATCTCATCAGATTTTTGAAATTTCACCCAAACAGTCTCGTAACATTTCAGCATTCTGAAATCTCACAAGATCTGTTGATAAATGCAGCTTTGGGGTCATTGTTAGCTCTGTCAGGCCTCTGGTAGCTGTGTGAATTGAAAGTGGAACAAACTACCTTCAGCTCAGAATCAACATTATCTCCATGTACATTAGGGGTTTGAGACTTTGAGTTTTTCTTTCACAGCCTTACAGTTATTAACTACAAAGACAAGCAGATATTTTATCTGATAAAATGAAACCTGGCAGCTCTGGGTTGTTTATACAACAGTTATTTGACTTATCTGTCTGATAACGACCCTTACACCCCAACTATAAACAAGATATTTTAACTAAAATTCTGAATTCTGAAAACATCACCTGTTTGAGCATTTTGGGACTGTAGCAAATTATATTATCCTTTGTACCTGCAGCATTAGCGGTAGGAGGAGTTTTAAAAGTTCGTCATCAGCCGGTCTTATTTTTTCCAAGACATCCAGGATCCATGTTAAATATTCATGTCTTTCAAGCATTCCTTCCTTAATGAATTTTAGAAATATATGTAAAGAAATTTCCAAATACATCAGTGCTTAATTGCTCAAGATGCCAATTAAGAATAAATGTTCCCAAAACTGATATTTAAACCATTTGAACATTTTTGATACATTACAAAACAATTTCAAAATTTAAAATTAATAGTTTAAAAGTTCCATACCAGTAACCTAAACATCTGAAATGTACAGAATCATCATCACCACCATCCAGTATCACAAACAAGAATCAGCAGAGCAAGCCAGCAGATTTACTTCAGTGAAATGCAATGTTGAGAGACTGGACTTAAGCAAAACAACACCCAACTGGGTGGAAGTATGAATGAAACTAAGCTGAACAAGGAAGAAAACAGAAAAGGCGGAGATTTTTGGTTTTGTTTTAAGATAAGCAGAATGCTCTTGTGGTCTGATTTTTCATTTCTTACTTACGCTGAAAAATTATTTTAAATACTTCTGGGGATAAGTGTAGCTAACCGCGGAGTGGGCATACTAAATGGGCAGAGAATGCTTCCTCTTCTGATGGGAAGCAGGAAAAAAATGTAGGGAGAAGGAATGCACTAATGTTTGAAATTCTGAATAGAAGCCTTCTATTACAATTTGTCATGAAGAACCACCAGTTACAGTATATTTTAACTGTTCTCCCCTTGGCAAAAGACTCCTTGGGAAAAGACTCCTTGGCAAAAAGACGGTATGTGTATTCACAATATGGTAAATATATGCTAAAGAAGCCCAACATTTCTTTCTCTGGGGAAGAATGGGGAAGGAACAAATTCTTGGCTACATCTACAGAAGTACATCTTTCTCCAAATCTACAAGGCATATTTTTTCTGCAATTTTGTTGCAGAAACAAAGCAAATTTGTTTTTGTTTGCTTTTTCATTAAAAATGTGCAGTCTCAGAATTTACAGACATCAAATTTTGTTTCCTTTTAATCTACTGATTTCAATAGGGCACATTTCACAAGAGCAAAATAAACAGCATTGATATTATTCCCCGAACTTCTGGTTTCAGGCTTCAACTGCATATTGAAAGCACCAAAATTCCCATAAGCCATACAGGTAACCTTACAAAAAAATTCAAAGAATGTGGAAAAGGAACAATTATCCTCCCTGAAATAGATAAGAATTACTAGGTTCAGATGTTTGGAGCTTTCATATACTTCCCTCCAATCCATTTTTTTTTCTGATGTACTTAATATCATTAAGTACCAGTTAACAGCATTTAAATTTATAGGTAGTCCTCACTTAACAACCCTAATTGGGACTGGAATTTCTGTCACTAAGCGATGTTCTCCTTAGGTGAAACCTCATGTGACCGCACCGCTTAGTGAGAGCAGTTCCAGTAGTCTATCTTCTTCCTCCCACTGCTGAAGTGTGCCCAGCCTGGCCCTTCACAAGTCAGCGAGGGGTGGCAGAGTGCAGGGCTATGGGGGTGCAGGGTGGAGTGCAGAATGGTGGGGGTGGCAGGGGTGATGGAGGGCAGGGCGGCAGGGAGAGCAGAGTGCAAGGCAACCAAAAGGGCAGAGATGGGGGAGGAGATAGGCAGGTAGGGGGAATTGAAGCACACCCTGTGGTCATAAATGTAGTGGGCTGCCAAGCACCCAAATTTTGATTACATGACCGCAGGGGCACTGCAATGGCCATAACTTCAAGGACCAATCATAAATACAATTTGTTCAGCGCTGACATAACTTTGAATGGTCACTGAACAAATGGTCGTTATTGGTAGACTACCTGTAATTCAAGACGAAGGCTGTTTCTTTGCAACTGTGTATTCCAAATCAGCTGACTAATAAATCTTCATCAAATATGTTTAATTTGTACCTTTTTCACTATAACCTGATATTCCTTAAAACTGCACACATAAAGATATGCAATATAAATAATTTACAGTCAGGGACAGTGATTCTGATAGTTGCATGAAACAATGACCAAGACATACAGTATACAGCAAATCTGTAACATTATTGTTGCTGCTGCTGCTGTTATTTAGAATTAACTCAAGTTCAACATTTCTTCATCCTGGATATTTCAACTGGTAACAGCAAAGGGGCTATCTAGTTGGAAATAAGACTTGCTTTAATTACTATTTAACATATTTTAACAAATTTAATATAGACTGACACTAAACAAATTATGAACAAGGAAACTGAAAACAAACTAGTATCACATTATACTGCTTTGCAGAACTTCACCCTGGTTCATTACAAAAAAAGGTTACCTGGAACATATAAAATGCCAGCTTTTCATTATATTCCCACTGCTTCAGGGCTTGTTCCACCTCACGAGGCACAACTACAGAGTTTTTGCCTTGGCTTGTGGTCATGTGATAAAATTCTGCAATCTTTACCAACTGCTCTCTTAGGTACCTGGTAGAGATCTGAGTCCATTCTATAGAGACACAAATTAAGTAAGCATTGAGATTCTTTTTTTCTTCAGTGACAAAATTGGCCAGAAAATTCAACACAATTTGTTTCATAATCAACTGAACAGTCAAAAACCATAATCTTCCAAATAGTGAAAAGTGGGAAATCTACAAGAATCCAGTTCGAATAACTTTTAGCATGATATTTTATTTGTATTTACTTTTTATCGATATTTTATTGCAATGCTTTCAAAGTATGCAAGCTAATAGTTTGCTAAAGGAAGGTCTATTCAGCAAACATCTTGTTTTCATGGATCATATTTATGTTTTTTAAGCAAGGAGAATTATAAATTATAGTTCTATATAAAGGAGGTTTCAGAATTCACGTGAGAATAAAAATTGGTCCTCAAGCATTTCCATGTAGTGTCCAGTCATAAACTGAAAATAATTCATATCACTTTGGGAAATTAAATCCAGGATTGACTATAGGCTTTATGTAAACAGACTCTTAATCTAAAATAGGCAGCTACCTTTGAAAATAATATTAATTCTTCCCTCACTCTGGAGGATCCTCATCTGATTCTGACACAAACCATAGAGACTTCAGAGCAAGTTTATCTTTTGCAACATTTCAACAGCTGAATCCATGGAGAGATTCTAAACCATCACAAAGGCAGATAGCTCAAAATCTATGGCCAAAGGACTGAAAGGTGAGAAACTGTTCAACTACAAGGGACATGTATCTATGTCCCTCACACACAGATTTGCTTGGGAATCAGTCTTTGCTCCTGAGCACAGAGTAGACCTGAAGGATAGAGCTTTAAGGCAAAGGCATACAATGCTGAAACAAATTCCGTTTTGCCTTTGGAAACATTCAGCAACCCTGCTCCTGTAACTCCTCATTAGACTGCTGAACTGTGACCCCTGGCTGCTCTTTGAATTGCTTAGAAATTGACCTCTGGGTTATCTTGGGTTTCTGTTGCTATTCTCTTTCCACCATCTTCTAGCTGTTACCTGAGCTGCAAAACTCAGGTAGCCATTTGATGGCAGCAGAAAGATACGGATCACTGCCATCTAGTGGCTTTCCTGATATTTGCAATCCAGATCTATTAACCCTTCCTATCATGATGTTAAGGCAAACTGACTTATGTTTGCTCTTTGGATTCAAGTCATGGGATTTTGAGAGCAACTCAGCCTACCTGAACAGGACACCAACACAACTTTGAGCAGTTTATTATTTGAAGATTCTATTTCACTGTTAACACTGTGCATTGTCATTGCTTAAACTGCAGCGATATGAACTCAGGTGACAAGAGATGTGGAGAAATCCATTTTGCTGTCCAAGATAACAATATCCACTCTCACTAATAGCTACCATCCAACAAAATGACTTCAATTCTCCTCCTCCCCCTCATCTGCATGTCCTTTTTATTTTTCAAATCAGCTTCCACCTACACATTATGCACTATAAAAGGAGAAGGCAGCTGAGGAATGTTGAATCTTTTCCAAACTGCAGTTTTTCTCCCCAGACACATTTTAAATAGGAGATAATCCTGTTATCTAATACATGACATGGACATACTCACATTTAAATACCCAGTTTTGATTTCATTTCATAGAGTTCAAACCTAGATGTTATTAACTAAAAGATGGTAGTTGAGCTGAGGATGTCCACAGTGGCAAATGCTTCAGAAATGATCTCTACAAAGTTTTTTTTCAGCTTTTTTGGCACAGCTTTTATTAGCTGAGGGCCACACATCTGAGGGGTATATTGACAGGGACATACTCCCCAAAATAATGGGTAGAGCCAGAACAAATCCCAACATTTGTTTCATTTGCATAATTTAATTAAAATCAAATATGCTTAAAGTATTTGTCTCCAGTTGTACAGTTATTAATTTTGCCCTTCTGTCACATGAAAAGTTACAATTTGGAATCCACTTTTAGAGCTCCTTGGCTATATGCAAGACTTCGGAGATGTTGATTGTGTCATGGTGCCTAAATTGCTTCCAGTTCTTACAAGCCAAAAATTCAGTTTGTTTTCCAGCCTACATTTTCCCACAGGTTTTAAGCTACCATTTCTTTAGAGGAGCAATGATATCATAGTTTCTCTATACTTGCAAGAGGTATTATAGAAATAAACCAAGAGAATCATTTCAACATTTATTATGCCAGTAGATATTTCAGAATGGGGTCCTCCATCAGTATCAAAGATTTATGTTTTTATGTTGCTCTAGTTAGTAGCACAGCTGCCATGTTCTACATTAATTAAAGTTTTTACAGAGAAGACAGTTTATTGAATATTTGTTGTTTTAAAGAAAGCATATGACAAAGTGAACAGGCTTAAATTATCTTTTACAGGAATACAGTTTGGAAGACTGGTTGCTGAATGCAGTAAGAGCAGTATATAATGGAAGTAAAGTGTGCTAACAATAAATGGAATGCTTAATGAATGTTCACATTGAGTAGGGAATAAGACAAGGAAGTATGATGTTCCCTTGGTAACTTAATATATTTATGGATAAATATATAAGGAGTAATTGTGGGACAGTATAGATACATTGTTTGAGGATGTTAATGTGAAGGTATTTTTGTATGCAGATAAGGCCTTGTTGTTGACTGACACTCAAAATGCTCTGCAGTGAATGTTAAATAGATTATATGATGAAAAGGGGTATGTAGATTTGAAAATTAATATGTCAATGACCAAGGGAAGTTGTGTTTGATAAAGAAAATAGAGTCAATTCAAGTTATACATAAATGGCAAAAAAAAAAAAATAGAAGAAATAGATGAAATTGTCTACCTTGGTAGAATGATTATTAAAGATTGAGAAATGGATGGAGTAATTTTAAGTTGTGCAATTGGTGGTAGGAAGCTATGTAGTCTGTGGCAAGGAATCACTGTTTGTCAAAAGAAGCAAAAATCAGCAAGTATAACAGTGTGCTTTTTCCAGCTTGTTACATGGAACTGAAAGCTGAGTATTCCTGAAGAAACATAAAAGTAAGCTGAATGCAATGAGAATGGGGTACTTAAGAAGTGTGTATGGTAAAACATAAAAAAATAGGCCGAAAAATGAATGGGTGCTGACCAAATCTGGATTGAATACAAAAGTGAGTAACTGTTGTAAAAGAAATCCATTGAAGTAGATTAGTTGTATAGAGAGAATGAATGAGGATCAAACTATAAAAGAAATATATGCAAAAAGAGTGAATGAATTGAAAGGAAAGAGAAGACAAAGCAAACTGTGACTGGACAGATTTGATGAGATCCTCGAAAAGAAACAGGCAAAGAGTTTAAAGAATGAAAGGCGGTGTATGAAACTGTGATGGAACCAAAGATGGTTTGCAATGCTAGAAAGATATGGAGACATAATCTAAACTAGCTACAGCTGTATTTCCTTCCTTTTTTTTTTTTTTAACTTCATTCCCTTAATTTATTTGGCTTATTTTTTTACTCCTTTTCTGCACTCTGAATAATGATGTCTTCCCCAAAGGAAACAACATGATGATGGGTATGTATTATCTACCAATATCAATACTTTAAATAAAAGGGATCATCGGTTTGGGGAATTGAATATATTGTTACTAAATTTCTAGTTAAATGACAGCAACTACCATTCTTGAAAACATGATATTAATGTACATACTGTAAAAAGCAAAAATCATCAATAGATACACCCTAATTGTCTAGAATCTGCTCAAGCCTATCCTTTAAGGTAGGAAGGGGACAATTAATACATTTCCTCTGTAGATCATTAATCATGCTTTAATTCTTCTGTTGTACTAAATATTCAATTTTTTTTTTCATTGATCAATGAAAAACTTTTAAAAATGGAAGCTTGTTTGTCATTTTCTGATGCAACAAGCTTATGATTTCTGTTTGTTTGAACTGCACTGATACATACTGTAGCTTATGTAGGAGAAAGCAAGCTTCCCCACTTGTACATCCCCACAATAGTGCAAAAATGTGCATTAATAATACAAAGATATTGCATTCAACATTGATTACCAAGATTTGGATCAGCTGCCTGGCGTTTCTTGATTTTAGCTTCAGAGATGGCCGAGTAGTAGGCACAAGTCATTTTTATCAACCATGCTGCTCGCAACAGTGGCACAGAGTATCTTGCTAAATATGCAAAAACATCTTCCTTTTTGCTGAGAATTGGGACCTATGTTTGAAGAGGAAGAGGAAGAATTTTTAAAAGTAGCTGCAGTACTATAAAACTTGAAGATGACAAATTACAGAAGTTTTATACAACTATAGAGATCGAGGAACAACTGAAGGACATGGAAAAAAAAAATGATAGGAGTACTTAGAAAAGGAAAAGTTAGTGACTGAAAGGTATCAATTACTCAAGTGAACTGACATTTTGTGGTTGTTCTTTGGTATGTCACAAATAATGTATATGTTCAAATAATATAGGGTCAGCCTGGATCATATGAAATTATGTATTATGCCCATTAAAGCCTGTTTGATCTTAAATTGGCAAGCCAAAAACAGACTTGCCAGCAAAATCAATATTTTGTTCACTGATCAAATGTATTTCCCCATTTTTTTTTCAAAATAATACTGAATACATAGCCATAATATGCTGCTTCTGGAAAACTTATATTCTGTCACATTGGCAGTTCTTACATCTAAATGTTGTCATTAAAAGCTCCCATAAATGCCAATCATTCAATTTTTTTATTTATTTATTTATTTATTTATTTATTTATTTATTTAAATATTCTTTATATTTCAGATTTGTCACTGCCCATCTCACTACAGAGCGACTCTGGGCAATTTACAGTAAAAACAAAATATTAATTAAAATAAATAAATATTCATTAATTAAAATACACTATAGCAATAAACTTAAACTATATAATACTTCTAAGAGGCTAATATTAATTAGGTATTAATAAATTCGGGGAGCATCTTCAAGGTGCCAGCCACCCCCAGGGTTGGCTGTATCTCTTCTCACCCCACACAATTTGGCAGAGCCAGGTCTTCAATTCCTTCCAGAAAATTGGGAGGGTAGGGGCCTGCCTCACCTCTGCGGGGAGAGTCTTCCATAGGGTGGGGGCATGTTCCTTTAAGATGCAAGCACAAAAATGTTGCATCTAAGCCCTGTGAAAAGGAGATGAGGTCCACTGATGCAGACTTGGTAAGCCTTCCCAGCTGAAATTTAGGATTGTCCTTTCAATATCTAAAAATGGGCAACATCTCTGGCTCCCAAGAAATAGATTTTATCAGGTTTCAGAAAATATTGAGAAGTCAGCTTCTCTTACTCAAGTGTTTAAGACTCTTATTATTTTCAAAAACTTCCTTTTTAGTACTGTCTAGTAGTTTACACACAATGTGTTTACTTTACACTAGTACGAAACAATACAAGCAAGTCAGCACCTAAAGCTGTTGATTCCTTAGTGAAAGAAAAAATTCTAACATACAATAAAGCTCTTCATTTTGTTTGTCTTTTGGATTCTTTTTTTCCACAGAACAACATCTGGATCTTTTCCTTTTCTTTAAATATCAGGGAAGATGCAAAACAAATCTGAACTTTGGAAATCTTACAATTTAAAAAAAAAATGCTAAGGGGAGAGGACTTCAGAGAACAATAACAGCAAAAGGGAAGGAATTGATCAGCTAAGCTCAAATAAAGGATTCCAAAGTAATTCTTATGCACAGAGACAAAACTACATTTTACATTAGACAATATATCCCAGAAGAAAACATACTATTTTGTTTTCTGATCTAAATGTTACTTGCTGCTGCAAATCAATGATAATTCACTTTGCATGCACAAGAATTCATCATATGGTAGGCAGCGGTATAAAATTTAAAAAATAAATAATTGGTGACTACTCTTCAGCTAGAACTGTACTTCATACAGAGATGGACTCTTTTTACTGACCAATGAATACTATTAGGAATCCTTTCTATTCTTCTTCCTTTTCAGTAATCAAATTCTATATCAACTTCATTTGATTGGCTCCCCCATAATAATATGTATGGTGTTCACCAATAAAACAAGTACAGTACTTGTAACAGAGAGAGGGCTTTTCCTCACTTGTCTAATCTACAGCATGAACATTCCTCAGTAGCTATAGTTATGACATTAACTTCATCTCATCCCTGATCCATGTTTGAGGCAGCTTAAAATCAACCTGAGTATTTCCAAGTCTACAGTACTGTTTTCTCTCTTCTCCAGACAGAATTTTGGTCATGGATATCATCAACCATTTGCATGCTTATGCATTCAGGCATAGATACCCAGGTCATATTGGCCACTTTAGGTTGTTACAGGCATACCCTCTCTAGTCATTGGACACTGTTTGGTTTGGCTTGGCCTGCAGAAGAGACAAGTCACCTGCATTCTTGCACAGCCATCTGCCCACATAATGCCTGACTGGCAGTTTCCATAGTATTTGTCACATCTTACATGAGCTCCTTCTAAACCTGAATTAAGCATTTAGTCCTGTGCAGAGGACAAGGTGGATTTAAAAAGGGGGGAAAAGCCAAGCTTTGCTAGCCAAGAGTTGCTAGATCTGTCACTATTGGCTTCATTAAAATCTTTCTCAGCTTGCAGCAAGGGGTTTCATGTGGCTATAATTTTTACCAGTTTTTACTCTTTTTATTATCTCTGAGGACTTGTGCAAGTTTCTATGTGCAATGCATGATAGTTATTTACAACCCCCTGGAGGACAGGGTACCATTTTGTCCATTGCATTCTGACTTAGGCAATATGAGGGCCATAGCAATTATTGTTGCTATTATGTACAGGCCAATCATAACTCTGCAAATCCAGAGGTCTGCTCTAATGCACATACTCTTCATGGCCACCCAGTGGCTACATCTGTCTGGATTCCAAGGTCACTTGTAGCATTAGCCAGGGACCGTACTCATTTGTTATCAATCATTCTACCCTGCTCCATCTCATGGCTCCCTTAGTCAGCTTGACCAATAGCTAAACTTATCATTTTAAGCATCTGTCCAAACTGGTACCACCCTGCACATGAGCAGAAAGGATCCGTGGCTGTTTTTCTACTGACAAGGGAAATAAAGGAGGGGAATCCACCAATCCCTTTCCTTAAATCAGTTGTAAGAAGTAATTAAGGTGTCATTCACTGGCCTCATTACTGTGGCAGAATAGCAATAGGAACAAAATGACACCCTGTCCACCAAGGGGATCATAAGTAACGACATTGCACGAACAGCTGTAGAAACTTGCTTGAGTCCTCAGAGATAATTTATATTGGCATCCTTTTCTGCTGACTCAGCAGCATCACCTCAGACATAAGAAGAGCCTATAGAAAATTTGAAGAAAAGGAGATAAAAAAGACAATACAGATTGTTGCAGTCAAGAAGAGAACAATAACTCTTGTCATTTCTTTTCAAGAAGTTGCCTTAATTAAATGTCTTGCTTATTTTGTTAATATTGCACTGTTGATATTCAGACCAGAGTCATGTGAGCCATCCCTTATCCCAAATATTTAAGAAGCCATCAAAATACCTTTTTTGCTAGGAAAGTCAGTGGTTTATTTCCTGCCAAATCTGCAAACCAAGTATGAATTGCACTCTGAGAACGAGCAGTAACTAGCCAGTAATTGTCTTTAGCATTTAGTTGCAATTTCTTCTTTCCTGTGTCCTGGAATGTATTAAGTTTTAACTTCTCTGATAATATGCTGCTAAAATAAGCACCAATCTGATAAGGAGAAAAAACACAAACAGAATAAGCATTTTCTAATCCTTAGTACATACAGTGTCTCAGATTGAAGAGATCTAGTCAGCAGTCCACTTTACGTGTTATCTTAATAAGATTAGCCTTTAAATTCTCTTTTGGAGTAGTCAGAAACTTGATAATGTGAATAGCTAAAATGATCCCTCATTATCTTTTCAGTATAGATATCGTGGGCATATCAAAGTTATTAACACTTAATATTAAAATATATGTTAAGCTATAATAAAAATACACTTCATTCTCAAAGTATATTTGCAGAAATTTGAAACATGATGTCCAGTTAAAGAACCATCCAGAAAAAGCAAATGTTAAATTTGAAGCCTGTGACATTTGCCTTCTTTCAAATACCAATTAAAAATCCTTTGTAAAACTGGATCCTTGATCAGCATATCAAGCACTCATCTCAGAGAAATGAAGTCTACTCAAATGAAGTCTAATATCCAGAAAATTCAATTCAAATTGAAAGTGTACGACATTCAACACTAACAAGTCAACATTTTTGACAGATCAGCATGCATTCACTTATGTATCTGTAACTTTCAAGTTACACAGAATATCTGTCTAAAGAAGTAAAAAATAAAGACCCACATTACCAAATCAAGAGTAAAGGAGATATTGGAAAACATACCATATTGTGAGAGGAAAATTATTAGTAGCCTTCTGTATGTTTTAATGTTAGTTTTGATTGCATTTAATAAAGCCAAATT